TGGTTATTTGGAAAGAACTATAATTGTCTGTAATTATGATTCGGGATGTATCCCCATTTTTCGTGCACTTACTTTCTTCTGAACTCTGCTGCCATCTTGACGTCATTCTGCATTCTGTAAAGATGAGAGATTTCAAAGCCGGTTGTCTGTCAGCACGTCCAACCTTAACACTGATTGTCTTGCTTTTGTACTCTGGGAAAATTGACCATCTAAAATTGGAAGGCTTTTGTGCCACCACAACTTTTTTTCTTGTGTAGTTTGTACTTTTCCCAGCTATCTTTCTTTCACTTCACAACATTTCTACAGGTACCTACTTTAGATGTTATGTTAGAAACCCCTTAACTTGTGTTTAGAAATATATATACACTCATACACACTTTGTTAGATAGTACCACGTTTGACCCCTTTTGCATTCAGAACTGCCTTCATGGCATTGACAAGATAGCATCGTGTCAGTTGCTGCAGATTTGTCAGCTGCACATCTATGATCTGCATCTCCTGTTCCACCACATCCCAAATGAGCCCTGGAGGCCTTTTTGATACAGTGCGTGCTGGACATGTTCAGCAACAATATTCAGGCTGCCTGTGGCATTTAAATGATGCTCAGCTGGTAATAAGGATCCCAACGTTTGCACCGCAAGCAGCAGCATGATGATACCAGGATGAATCAATCTTTTCCTGTTGTTTATGACTAATTCTGACCCTACTATCCAAATGTCAAAGCGGAAAAAGTCATCAGACCAGACATTTTTCCAACCTTCTGTTGCCCATATTTTTCTTTTATTTATTTTCAATTTTCATAACAATCAAAACACAAAATAGCATACACTGGACATGGTTACATCTGTGCAACCAGTAAGGAGAAATACAAAAACAGAAAAGTACCCAAGTACTAAGAACAAAACAAATAAGGGGTTGTGTAAAACTTAGCAGACGCACAAAAGAGAAAGGGCAACTATCCGTTAGGTTCTGTCCTTTGTTTTCTCTGCAACCTCAATCCACTCTTGCTGAAACTTTCCTTGACAGTTATTATTCCTTACCATCAGTGATTCACAGGAAGCAGTGTCTTTAACCATTCTATGAACTCTGGTTTAGTGTGGCTCCTCCAAAGGCAAAGAATAACCTAAGAAGCACAGGGTAAAACAGCCCAAGCTCCCAGTCGGCACAACTGAGGCAATTCTGGTAAAGCCCTATGTAGCGACTATCCAATACAATGAATTACTTGAAGATCAACAGTCCCTGAAATACTCCGACCAGCCTATCTGGCAGCAACAACCATACCACCTTCAGAGTCGCTTCTGTCACCTTTCTTCCCCATTTTGATGTTCTCTTTGAACTTCAGCAGGTCATCGTGATCACGTCTACATGTCTAAATGCACTGAGTTCCTCTCATGTAATTGGCTGTTGAGATATTTGTGATGAGCAGTTGGACAGGTGTACCTAATGAAGTGATCCGTGTTCGTGTATCCTTTGTTACTTTTTGGTATTTTTCTTTTTCTATTACTGTTTGTTTTTTGGTCATCAAGCGCTCGCACAACTATACGGTGGACAGAAACCGCAAAACCCCAAAAGTTATAAACAACATTTTTAAAATGCTCAAGATAATAAAACGGCCACTTAAATGGACCAGAACAAACTAAAAATAAATGTAGGCTTTTATTAGTAATATGTTTCATGATTCTGTTTCAATTTAATCTCCATTTAAATGTATATTAAATATTCATAGAACTATTATAACTATTAAAGCATTTTGACAACAAAATTAATCACTTTTATCTCACGGCTGGAATGACAGCAAATTTAGACCTTAAACAGCAATGTAGTGGATGCACTGAACTATAAAATACAAACTATGACTTTTACGTGGTGAACCACAAAAATACATTAGATTCTACATGTGAAGTGCAAACAGATACAAAGACATAAACACTGTATCTCACCTTACATTCACCAGGTCAGTTGGGGTCCCAATGAAACCACCTGTAAAACCTGATGAAGGAAAAACAACATCTTTAAATACAATTTTAAGTATAAAACGAAACAACATCTTTAAATAAAATGTAAGCTATTTTGCACCATTTACCTCCAAAGGCACCCAGGAGGACTTTCTGGTGGAAAGGCATAGGACCTTTATTTTTTCTCTTCATCTTATCCCTGACGGTCTCGTAAATGGCAAATCGTGACAAAGAATATGTCATCTGGACGAATAAATAAATAAAAACAGCTATGTCAAAGAGAGGAAGAGTGTACGGCTGATAAAGGTTTTATGGAAATGAGTGTTGTTTTTGACCTGCCGGCAGAGGGAAGCAGTGAGCCCGCTGTAGAGAGCCAGAAAACCCTCTCTTCTCACTACGTTAAGAGTCATCCCAATCATCCTCATCCTCACTTCCTGCTGTGTTTGCAAGTGGACCTGGAAGCAACCATAAGGAAGCAGCACTAAGAGTCAGTGGCACTTTTAGTGAGAATTGGCCTTAGAGATATGTAAAGTTCCTGTCTTTAAAACCGTTAATATCTAGTCTGAAAATACATCTCACGCTCTAATATTACCAGCACCATTCAGTCCGCATCCTAAATTAAAGAAAACCAATACAATAAGTGGATAATAGCTGCAAGAAATAAAAAAAACCTGTGCCACTAAACATACACTACAAATGTTACTATCATTTAAAGCACCTTAAGGAATCAAAGCAAGCCTAATGATTGCCAATATAAAGGCAATTTGGCTGCATAATAGTCTCATCAGCCTAGTGAAATTCTAAGAAACTGCTAAAATGAATACTACCACAACACATTATTCCAAATTTTATCATCAGCAGGTAAATAGAAAACCAAAATAACCAAAATAGACACATCAGTGAGGCCTACCTGGATCTATTTTGTCTCTGCCGAATGGAAGGATTGTGCTCTGGTGTTAATTCAAATTCGATAAGCTCTATAATTTACCTTTATCAAATCCAGTGGATGGGTTACACAGGCTGCTGCACTGGACGAGACCCCACCAAAATACCAACGAGAGACACGGTTCTCCTGCATGCTGTCCGTGAGGCAAACTCCAGAGGGGGAAAAAGCCAAAGGGTCGACTTCTCAGAGGCTCAAAGGACAACTTTGCCCGAGGGTGCTCCTTTCATCGTTTTTCCCCTCAGCACTTCTGGTGATGCGTGGCCACAATTCATCTTAAAAGTCAACGGGAGTCATCTCAATGTAAATCTGTATTTTGGTTTCTTTTGAAGCAGTGGACATACAAATATAATGAGTGTGCCTCCGTATTTACTCCATGTTTGTGTGCCAAGAAGAAGAGGGGTGCAGCTGGTTCATGGGAGAAAGTGTACGTGACCAATATAAAAATAGTAAGCGGGCTTGACCGCTGCTGTAGTTTTGAAATTGTGGCCGACACACCGACATGGAGCAAAGGTCTTGAAGTTTAAACAAATATTTGTCAAGGATAGATTTGTCTAATTATAGCATTCAGACTTCAGGTCATACGCACAAAAGGTTACAAGGTTACAACATTTTGAACAATGGGTCAGTGATGCAAAGCAACATTATTATTTATAAACTTTTCTGAAAGTTTCTACAGCTAATGCAACCGTCTGGGTTGTTGAACATGACATGATTTTAAATGAGTGCTATGAATGACCAGCCTGGCACAGCAGCACTTGAGCTGACTCAGAGGGAGGGCACTCATGACAGATGATACAAACAGCAACTGGATACCCACTCCAAGTTGGAGCAAAGGTAAGATGTTAGCAGACACAGGCAGGCATGGGTAATGACAGCTAGCAATAGTCAGAACTGAGATTTAGGTTTCTGTCTAATGCTTTAACATGAGTTGTTGTTGCTGGGCCTCTTTCAGGGAGCTGTTTGATCAGATTGGGGGTGGTTGCAATTTGGCCTACCGTCTGTGAAATAAATGAGATGGGCAAAACAATAAATGCAAGGTCCAGAATAAAAATGAAGTTGAATGAACAACAGGCTTAACCTTCATGTTGATAGGATTTATTGCAGGACTGCTCCATTATTTTCTGCTCGCTGTAGCTACACCGGTTGAGATTGCAATCAAGTCAGACTGCAGACATTAATCTACTGCACATGAATCCAAATATTTAAGGTTACACTGAGATTAAATAACAAGAACCAACTAGGAGTTAGGTCTACATGGATGTTATATTGCACTGATGCTGGATGTTTGCAGTTGGTGGACCGTAGGCTGACATCAGTCACTTGAAGTGTAGGAGAGTGATATGCTGCTGCCCTCTGCTTTATGCTAAATTGCTGCATTAAATTGCATACAGCTGGATTTTGCTTTTATCATAAAGTGAGTTAAAATGAAACCTGTGACTGATTTAATGTGGTGACTTCCTTCAGCAGTCCAGGCCAGGCTTGCAATGCTATGACCCAGCCAGAAGCCATCATCACTAACACAGCAAAGTATCATTTTCAGTCTCCAGGACAATTTTCTACAACTCTCATCAGGACTAAAGGGGTTTCCCCCCCCCTCACTGTAGGAAAACTGGATGACAAGCCATTTCTTTTACATGTTCTTCACAGAGTTTTTAATCACTTATGTTGCGTTGCTCTTTCTCATGTTTCATCTGTACACATCTGTCTTCATTCTTCCTGCTCTCCATCTGTGCTTTGCATTTGTTCTTGTGACAGATGTAAAAACAGACTGTATTCTCTCTAAGATTTAGATGTGACATAAAAACTAAACATGTTAAATTATCAAAGCACTAAAATTTACAGTCAGGTTTAGCCTTAAAAAAAAAACTAAAAGCAAAACTCCATCATGATTTGGCACACACACCTTCATCAGGGAATGAAACAGAGTTAATGAAATCACTCGATCCTTCTACTTTCCAGTGGTGTTTCACCATTAGGGATTTCCCATTAATGGTATTCCCCCAATGATAAGCTTCCACCCAGGATCAAAGTGGAATATTCCACCAGTGAAAAGATATAAGAGCAATCTTCAACACCTGGACAGATACAGGAGCCCAAAAGGATCAATAAGCCCAGAATATTCACTAATCCAACAGGAGTGAAATAATCCACTGTTTATCCTCAGCACTCTTTGTGCTAAAACACGTCAGTTCCCAGGTCCTGAATCCTTCCTGATGCTTCAGTCACAAAAAATGACTGAGACTACTTGATTAAAACAACTAGCCAACATATCTACTGTGAAAAAGCACTATAAAAACTGTTATATTAACATTATACTGCCATGATAGCAGGTATGAAATTGAGCCCCTTTAATGTTCTCTACATACTTCTTGACATATGTCCTTGCAACCTCTAGTGTCCATAAGTACAAAGCACCTGACTCCTCACCTTCTCCTATAATTATAATTAATCAGATATTTTTATATTCTTCAGGTTTTTCTTTTTACAGTCAGCAGTCTGCAGGTGATTTTGTGCAGGGTTAGCAGTTTATGTTCCTTATGTGAACCCCATTGAAGAGACAGATTCTCCAAGAGGAAAAGCAATCCAACACTAGTTTTAAAATAACTGTATAATTTTTCTTCTTTACATGCTGACTTTTTTTTCTTTTTAAAAAAAATCTGTTTTTCCAAGTAGTTGCAGACAAAATAAGATTGTCTTCCTACAGCAACTAAATGCTTTTAGGCATGTAGACATAAAATGGGCAGAATGAAAAGCAGATTTAAAGGACTTTGAAAGTGACATAGCTCGTAATGACAGCTGGGCTGGACCGAGTACTTAACTGCTGATCTGCTGGGGTTTTCTCACACGACCATCTCTAAGGTCTCTTCTGACATCTCAGTGTGAGATGTCAGAAGGGAATGAGTGTCTCCTTTCATCTGATAGGACAGCAACAATAACTTGTTACAACCAAGGTATGCAGAAGAGCATCTGTGAACAAATCAGACCTTGATGCACATGGGTTACAGCAGCACAAGACCACGCTGGTTGCCACTTATGCTAGCTAAGAGCAGGAAACTAAAAGTAGAGTTTGCACAGATTCATGAAAACCGTTATTTGTTCCGAAGGCAAAAGGGGTTCAGAGGAAGGTATACCTAATGAAGTGTCCAGTTAGTGTAAATGACATAATTACTTTCTCTCCAAATCATACATCATCACAGATACTGAAGCTTTTTTCCTCTCTTTTAGGAAAACCTACTCATTTCTGTTCATTTCAACACTAAGGTTTACTCAGAAACAAAATGACATGTAAGTGCTGTTATCCAGCATTATGACGACCTCTGGTGGACAACCACAGTAAAGCATAATCTAGTGAAATTCACTGTTCCACTATAAATGTTCAGTCAACACAGCACACATGAAATCTTGATTACACTCTCAAGTTTTCCATAAATTCAGCCACACGACCAATAACACATAAGAGCAAAATAATTATTTCAACTTTAATCACATTATTAACATTTCAATGAGATTTATCTGGACTCAGCCCTGCCATTCTCTGAACTACACACAGTATCTGGTGCTCCTCAACATCAGTCATCTGTATCAACCTGGAAACCACAAGATTTAACCTTGTGAGAAGATTAAACACAAAGAATTACAAACTGACTTCAGCCTCTTTCAGACATGCGCTCCTTCCCATTGATCTGACAGCATCTTGGTGTGGTAATGGTTTCGTGTCCATCAGTACCCTGATCACGCCTCTGGAGGTAGGACGCAGTACGTTTCAACAGTAGCAGACCAACTGTGCATGCATCTTTGGCGAGTTACTCAGCTCACAAGAGAATGCAATTAAAAGCAGAAACGTTTACATCGTTTCTAATTTGGAATATGATTCAAGCATTCTTCCTAATACAGAAGAGAGCTTTTTAGAGCATGCATGTGGGGGGGGGCAGGGTACAGCTCTCTCTGCAACACCACGCAGCACATGCAGCTCTTTGTAACAATGACCGAGAGAGACGTCTAAAAGTGTGGTTACACTTGCCTACAGTTAGTACCAACACTACTACTGTGGGGGTTCTCTCAGTCTGTCGTAGGAAGGTCAGATAGAAACCAGAGGAACATTAATGTGATCAATGACCGATTGACACAATGCCATTACTGCAATGTTATTCATCCCATGTCTGAAAAAGGCGTTACTCTGCATCCAACCAATCTCCTTAGCTTGTTTGTGACACGTGTATCAGACAAGCGAACCACCAAACAGTGCGGCGGTACATCTGCGAAGGCTGCGTGCCGGAGAGTTCAGTCTCAGCTGTGCTGTCCCGACCTGACGTTGTAAGGGGACGGCGTTAATGTCAGAAGGCATTTGTTTCCATTTCTCTTACGATCCACGTCTTTGTCGTACAAAAAAAAAAAAAAAAAAAAAAGGGGGGAAAAAAAAAAAAAAAAAAAAAAAAAGGGAGGAAAGAAATAAAAGAAATAAATGAAGTGCACGAGTAGCAAAATGATGGCGAACAGTGGGCATAAGGGCAGACGAGATCTACTCCAACTCCACGGTGCCACCTGCTGCCTCCAGGGCTGCTTTTAATTTCTCTGCCTCTTCTTTGGATACGTTGGCCCGGATTTCCTGTGGAAGAGCCTCCACTAGTTTCTTAGCCTGTTTCAAATAAAGAGGGTGGAGAAAAAAAACAATTAGTGAAGTTAACAAATGTGTGCTTTGAGAAGCTTTAACACTGCAGACAAAGCAAATTACACGATACACAATGCTTGCTTGTAGTTAATGCTCACAATAAAAAGAAAGAAATTAGGAACACTTGATCACCACAATACAACAAATTCATATCAATCTGTCAATTTAGAAACTGTTGGGAATGCATTTCACCCACTTTGGTGCAAATAAAGTGACAACAGGCTCACTGCAAAGCCAACACCACAGACAACCTCTGTGAGCAAAGGACCCATGCTACCCTCATGCCCTCTGACAGTTTGGTCAGAGGAATGCACATGACGAGCTTGCTGGAGGTCATGTAATAGGACTGGAAATTCTTTGCTCAGAGGAGCAGACACTGATGCCATTGATATCCTTCTACAGCCCTGTTCAGCCTTCCTTGTGTAACAGCCCACCTGCATCACCTCACCACTCTTGAGAACATGCTGGGAGACATAGCAAACCTTCTCATGAGAGCACGAATGGATGTTCCCAGCAGTGAGATTTTAATTTGCACCAAAGCAGCTGAAACTGATTCACAAAATAAATTGGACTGATTTTGCAGAATATTATGTAATAATATATGCATATTATTACCTCCAAAGCGTCATCTCATAAACATTTTATATCTCACATTCTAACACCGGCCCATTAACACTGCTTTTTGCCAAAAGCTACAATGAGCCCGCTTAAATAGCTCCAACAGTGAGACTTACCTGCACCAGATTCAAGCCCTGGATGCAGTTTTTCACTTCCTTTATAAGCTTTACTTTTTCAGCAGCTTTCAATTCTGTCAATTTTACTGTAAAGTGAGTCTTCTCCTTCTTTGCTGGTGCCGCCTCCTCCTCTGCAGCCTAGTTGCAAAAGGAACACAAACGAGGTCATTTAACTGTGCGCACAGAGCCTCGTTGGCCACATCAACTATGAGTGACTTTAAATTCCTAAGCTAGACATCTGAAAAAGAACAATAATGATGTATGTTGCTACTTAAGCCATTAATGATTTATAACGCAGTCTTCAGAACTTCCCTTTAAAAACAATCATCAATACCTGAGCTGCAGGAGCAGCTAATGTCGCCATCGCCCCCATCGGCATCATTCCGACACTCTCAATGTTCAGAGTTTTCTGTGGTAAAGACAAACAAGTTATCACTCAACATTTAACACAAACGGACAGCTCAGACAAAGTGCACTGTGGTTTTAAATTTCCCACAAACCTTGAGGAGTTCGTTGAGATCGGACACCTCTAACAAGGTGAGGCTGGCTATGTCACTGACAAGCTGCTGGATTTTGGGGGAATACTGTTTGGGGGCTCCATCTAGAGGAGGGGTGGCGATGGCATCTGAAGACGAGGCTGGACTGGTTTTCAGAAGTCTGAGAGCACACAAGGCTGGTGTCTGCCGCTGAAGATGTTGCCTGGGAAAGTGAAAAACCGATTAGCTAAAGGGCAGACTGTATCCACATATTCAGTATGGTGTGGATCACACCTGGCATCATCCACTGCCATATTTTGACTTTGTCTACTGCTTTACAAAACAATCCTTCTAACATTTAGAGTGCAGACTGCCTAACTTATGCATAATTAATGGTCTCAATTTGCAAACCACCAAATAACCCCTCAAGCTTCTCACTGTGTAAAGACAGTAGCTATTACTATGAGATGGGTTTGCTTTCTTATTTCACCTGGAGGAGACTTTTATGCTTATTGCTTTGCAGTTTAACAGCTCAAACAAATTATGGTAATTTGGCAAACAAAAAACCTTGAAATTCCAGTTTTGCATCAGCAAATAATACTGTACAAAAACACCACACCACAAAGGATTTGGCAGGATTCTGCAGGTACTGGCTAGCTTTGGTTGGAGAGTCACGCATCCCTGGTAAGAATAGTAAGAAGAGATTTGTTGTATGTTATATGCGAGATGGCACAAGAACGCAGAGCAGTCGCTTAGGGCGGGCAGGACTGGTTAACATTACGGCAAGTACCTGTGAGCTAAGAAATCAACCATTATATTCTGGCATTAAGGGCAGATTTCAGGAATATTGTAGGTTTATTACAAGGGGGGGGTGGGCAGGAAGCTCAGTCCTGTTAGTAAAACTGACAGCATGGTGGTTCTTCATGCCTTCTCAAACATCTCAGACTTGAAATTTCACAATGACAGACGTGGACAGCTCAGCTGAGCAGTTGCTCTTCACTGATTGCATGGAGACCAGTTGGATGAGAGACGTACAGACGATGCACTTATAGCGTCTGATGGTTACAACAAATTGTCAGGCATGTGGACAACCCACCCCCAAAGCTTCCCATTCTACTTGTGATTACAAAACTTAAGTCCCTTTACCCCCAAACAAACCCCTGGGTACTTGCAGGCAAAAAAAAAAAAATTATATAAAAAAAAAATAGTTGCAAAGGGCAGTCAGCCTCCATGTAACCAGGGCGACACTGGAGGAAACTACAGCTTTGGCTGAGAGGTCCTGATAAGGATGAAGAGACAGAAGCGCTCCAGGACGAGCCACGGTGGCTTACATCATAAAATCTCCAGCTGACAGTCTGGACATGTCTGTTTTAAGACACAACTGCCTCTTTTACACACATGGCATTGAAAGTCTCAAGATTCCCGAAAAACCCCAGTGGTGGCTCTATAGTCAGTTTTAACAGGGTAATGTAGCCTATCAAGCTATAAAAAATGTTTTAAAAAATCATCCAGGGTATTTTTACTACTGTCAAATACCAGAAAAGTCCCATTTGACTAGTGTAGGTAAGAAAAAAAAAGGTCAAAGCCATGCTTCTCTTAGATTTTTTTTTAAGACAAAGCCATAAAGGTATACTACGTTTTGTGTCATTAGTCGGACAGCAGGGCTCACTTGGTCACGTTGTTCAAGTTGAAGCCTGCGAGAGAACCCTTAACGCCGGCTAACCTACTTAGCACACAGCCGCAAACCACTAAACTCATTTCTGCGCTCACACAAGGCGCATCGTCTGTCTTTAGACGAATTAAAAAGACAACATCATGTTCTCCGTCCAAATTAAGCGGCAGCAGTGGCCGGCTCTCTGCCCTTGAAGCCGCAGACACTCGGATACAGGTGTACTCCGCCTGTTACGTACCGATGCGTGCTGGCTGCGGCTCGCAGCGCGGTGCTGAGGCAGCGGCTGGTGCAGAACATGCCGACGGTAAATGGAGCCGGTGGTCCTCTCTCTGAGAAAACAGACAAATTTATCACACACACGTCTCCTTCTAGCGGATCTTCTGCCTCAAAAGCACATGGCGTCCCCTCTACTCCTGACCTACCCACAATGCATTGCGTGAACTGTTAAAAAAACCTCAATTCAACTGCTACGGGAGCCCACAAGGGACAATGAATGTGCGTGAGAGAGCGACAGAAAGAAAGTAAGTTTGAAATAATAATAATAATAATAATAATAATAATAATAATAATAATAATAATAATAATAATGTCCAGTCTCATCTTCCCATCTCTAGCATTATCACTTCAATGCCATGCAGTGACTCATAGTGCTCCATTATCTGTTTTTCCATCCAGGTGTCTTTACTGCTTTGGCAGTGTGGTTGGGATCATTCTAATGCTCAAAAATTAAGCTGTTACTGTCACATGCTTTCCAGGTGGAATTGCATAGTGGATCAACATCTGAAGGGATTTTGCTGTGTTCAGAATTCATCATCTTTGACATTATCCACAACACCACTGGTTCAGATTCAGCCCGAAACCATGTCAGATCCAGATCCGAGGTCCTGTGTTTGGACTTTCTTAACAAGGCTTAACAAAAGAAAAGAAAAAAAATAGTAAATGAGTGAAAAGTCAGAATTGGAGAATTATTGGTCAAGACCACTTTAAAAATGTAAAGTGGACTGGCTCCTTGCAAGCAAAGTAGAAAGAAATAAGAGGTGACTCAAGACTATAGCTGTCCTACTATTTGCTGTGCATGTGCACGTGCGTATGTCCTACCTGTAGCGTACCAATGCTGGGCACTTGGACACTGGGAAGGAGCATGAAGGAAATCCTCTTAACCAGGTAATCTCTCCACCCATCTGCTGCTACTGTCTTCCACCAACATGCCATTCCCTCCACTGGCCTTTATCGCCAGTGCAAATAAAAGGTAAGAAGCATCCGCTGACAGAACAATGCAATGCATGGGAGTGCAATGCTAGATAAAAGAGGCACACATCTTTTCTTTTCTTTTTCCTTCAGGCCATGCTGCTGTCTCCTCAGGCTGAAAGGAACTGGGAGAGTGTTTGTTCAGTGCTCGAAGATGTGTTGGAGAGCCAGTCACACAGGCAGTTATTTGCTTTAGAGCTTGGTTCTGGAACTGGCCAGCATATCATACGGTTTGCTCAGAAGATGCCCTTTGTCATTTGGCAGCCATCAGACATCAAAGAGGATTCTCTAGAGAGGTTTGTGCCTTTCAGAAAGTGCTTGCCATGTTGACGTGTCAGTATAGTTATGTGTGACAGAAAGATTTACGAACATATTCCAGTTAAATCAATGATCTATTTAAACAAGTGATTTGTTGAAGTCTACGGATTTGACATTAAATCTAAAATGAAGCTCGCACACACCTTGTTGGCAGTATCAAGGCATATATTGCTGCAACCCAAGCAAAGACGGTGCTACCACCTGTTCACCTGGATGCCAGTGATCCGTGGGAGAAATGGGCAGGACTGAGTCACAACTCCTGTGACGTTATTATTTCCATTAATTTACTGCAATACAGCTCCTTCAAAACAGCCCAGGTAGGCCTGGTTGCTTCTAAATCAACGGAAGAGATTGAGATAAATCCCCACAGTATTTTATTTACTTATTTTCTCAGGGAGTTTTCAGTGGAGCAGGACAGATCCTCAAACAAAACGGCCTTTTGATAACATATGGGGTACGTAATGATAGTTAATTACACTACAAATAAATCTGAACCTACTAACTGAAACATTTCTCAGGTGTATGCGGTTAATGGCATCATCACACCAAGTTGTAATGAAAAGCTGGATGAGGAGCTACGAAAAATGTGAGTAGCAGCTATTTGGTAATATGTGTATGTGGTTGGCTGTTAGGATACGATATGAACCATGTTTGGTTCTGTTGCATACAGGAATCCAGACTGGGGTCTTCCAGATATCGACGTGCTCAGACAGCTGGCCTATGGGAACGGGATGCGTATGGAGCGGATAGTAAGTCATGTATCTCGGCTTAGAGGCAATTCCACCTCCTAGCAGCATGCCTTTTACACTTGTAATGTTTCCTTCTTTTAGATTGAGATGGAAGAATACTACAAATGCCTCATCTTCAGAAAACTCTAAAGAAGCCAAAATACCAAAAGGACATTAAATTATTAGTTCACATCAGTTATGAGTGTAAGTCTTTAGTCTTTATATTTGTAAGACAATTCTGCAATCTGATAATGGATATAGTTGAATAAAAGCTTTTAAAAAACCCTCATCTGTGTGTGGTTACAAAATACAAGTCGAGGCACGTGGACAGTAAGAACCAGATATTTATTAAATATAATTTTAAAATTACTTCAAAGTCAGATCAGTATGTTGGAATAAAGAAGTTCACAGACGCCAACTGAAGAGTTACAGAAACCATTGATCGGGTGTGTGATACATACATGCAGCACATCATGTTTGCTCTGCAAGCTTTTCTTCACTTCTGGATACTCAAGTAGACTTTCGAAAGAGTGCCCACATGTACTCCCGATGCAGGCATCTGTATATGTGAAAATTACAACTAACAGAATGTAGGCTGGGACTCCTGGAGGAAACTTGCACTTTATTACAGGTTAAGTTCATATGCTTCTGTTTTGTGATGGCACTTGATGTTCGGCAACACCAGTCGCTTTAACAGAAGGGATGCAAAATGCTATTAGAACTGCTGGACTGCTTTTAGTATGAATATTTTATTGTTACTAATTGTGGATTTTTAATGATTTAGTTAATTAAGTATAATTGATGAAGACGAAACAACCACCCAGCTAATTTTCTAAACAGTTCTCCCATAACGTGCTAATCCCTGCATCGTCTCTGAAACTATATTAACACACAGTTGAAGCAGCACACAACAAATAAATGCCCCCCCCCTCCCCAATTAAAAAAAGAAGAGTCTAATTTGTAAATATGAGAAGGGATGATATGAAAACTACTGCTTATGCGTTAGTGAGATTTTTTCCAGGTGTTTGACTGTGCTGTCACTCTTCAGACATACCAACAACATCTTAATCAGTGAATACAGATGTTTCTCAGTCACTTCTTAAACTGTTAAAACACGTTGAAATAATTTGCTTCCATTCCAGAAAATAACTGAAATTTCAACATGCAAATTTGGATTTAGAAAAATGTAAGACAAAGGATGGTTGCATCTTCTTCTCTCTCTCTTTTTTTTTTTAAATCTCCTAAATGGTCATATTTTCTGTAACTTTAATACCACTGACTATTTCTGCTCTTCAGTTATTCATTTAATAAGGAGATACTACATACATATCAGCTGGAAAGGAGGAGGAAGAGGGTGAAGGTTGTTGGTTATGGCGCTTCCCATTGCAGCTTTACCCCTCCTGATTTTTATACTTCAGCGGGGGAGAGGCAAGGAGAGCAACAGTTCTGCAACATCATCACAATATTTCACGTTGCCACAAAAATCACAGCGAGGTGGAAAGTGGGAATTATGTGTGTGTTTCCAGAGGGTATCCTCAGAGTCCAGAGAGGGAAGAAAGAGACCAAACAGGGAGAGGAGCTGTAGTGTGTTAGACCCAGCAGCGTGAGCCCCTTCAGTCGAAGGAGATGAGCTGTGCCTCTGCGCTGCCCGGCACGGCTTGAGGAGCCTGCTGCTGCGGCTGCTGAGGCTGTTGCTGCTGCTGTGGGGGGCCACCAGGGGGAGCAACCTAGCAGCATGAATGCACAAGTAAAAATAGGAAGATTAGCCAGGATTGACATTGAAATAACCTAAATAAAAATACCAAAGATAAAAATAAAGAAAGCTTTTATGCGTTAACGGTGAATGAAAGTTGAACCAATGAACTTTTAGTCTGTCTTCAAATATATAAATACACGACTGACCTGCTGATACATGGGCTGCTGGCCTGGCATGTACTGCTGTTGGGGGGGCATATTGGGATCCTGTCCCGGCAATGCTGAAATCATGTTCTGCATATTGTACGGCTGGTAACCCATATAACCCATACCGTTAGTGGGGGGTGCCTGGGACATGGGGGGCATACTCTGCGCCTGAGAGGCCACATTCTGCACAAAACACAGAGAACAGTGAGATGCATTCATCTTTAAACGTTTCTGTGGCATTTCATGTATTAATCAGAAAATTTAAGTGGAGCTTTGTCAGACCTGGTAACCCTGCGTAGGTGTGGGCTGATAGGTGGAGTAGGGTGGACTAGTTGTGGGTGGAGCCTGACCAGGCGGAGGAGCGGGCTGCCCATTAGTTCCTGGAGGCGGGTACATGTATGCATTAACCATATTGGGATCTGAAAGAAAGGGGGGAAAAACACAAAACATTGTAGTGAACGATTAAGATTTTAGATCATATCGCTAATTGTAACACCAGATGACCAAAGTTGGTAGATTTCTTATCTTTTCAGCTGATCCTTTTTCTTATGAACCTCCTCACCTGTGGTAGGACCAGGCATAGCCTGGTACTGTGCTGGTGCAGTCTGCCCTGGCTGATTCATATAGATGTTGTGCATAGGTGAACCCTCCACAGAACCAGCGGGGCTGAAAGTGCCTGGGTAGCTGGGCGGAGCACCGGGTTGGTATACCACCCCTCCCGCGACATTGGGGGGCAAAGACTGCATCTACATAACAGCAAATAAAGACAGCATTAAAATTTCACCAAAAGATTACAATGAACTTAAAAAAGTTCAAAAACATAAAAAGTCTCCCGCTGAAATCTAAAAAATGTTTCATTAGCTGAAATTTATTCTTTAGGTTCATATATTTCTGCTATTATTGAGACATTTGGTTTCTGCAATATCAAGTGAATTTACTGACTAGATTATCATTGGGTTGAGTTCAGTCTGAGGCCAGATGGAGTATAAAATGTGTACCTGGGCATAGGGAAGAGAGAAAGCAGGCATCTGGGCCCTCATCTGGATGGTGTGCTTCTGCTGCTCCAAACGCATCTGTCTCTCTTTCTCCTGCTCCTGGAGGCGCTGAATGGCCAACTGTCTTTGCATCTCCAGGTACTCCTGCGGTCCAAAGAAATACCCGTGAGCATGGTAATGGCCTATTATATCTGAACTCTCATTGAACAGATTCAGTTCAGTACCTGTTTCTTCTGCCTCATGATCTCCAGTTTTTGTGCCAGCTGGATCTGCCTCTGTCTTTCCGCTTCCTCTGCAGCGCGACGCAGTTTCTCTCTGTGTTCGTCCCGGAGTGCGTTGAGAGCGGCCCGAGCATCACGAACCTGAGCTAGCTTGTCCTGCAGCCCTTCATAATACACTGACAAGACACAGATCATCACAGTTTAGAGCCTGGACACGGGGAGAGAGAAATCTATAAACATGGACGCAATTACACAAGGCCAATGCTTACATCGCTTCTCATCTAGCTGGTTGAGGATGTCCAAAAGCTGTGGGTGCATGTTGTTGATGGACTGGAAGAGTGAGAGCACGGCGCTGTCGTTAGTGATGCTTCGCCCACGCATGTGGTTGCTCTTCATGCGGTTCAGGAAGGTGGTGACAGCATTCTGCAGAGCCTTCAGAAACTGCTCATGGTTCTCCTCTGATTCGCCATTCTGGTACTGCTGCTGAAAGAGGGGATGAACAGGGAAAACCATGAGCAGGGGCTCATTTGTGTTTAGTTTGATTTTGTTTTTTTAGAGCTCACAACTTCAGCATACCTCCACTATGTTGACAGGCTGGACAGGGACGTGACTTTCCACGGGCTGACTGATTGCCGGAAGTGGCTCAGCCAATGTCACAGGGGCAGGGGCTGAGGGGGTGGGACTCTTGCGAGCCTCTTCCTGTTTTTTCTCCCAATATGTTCTGTTCAGGTAACGGGCCAGCTGGAATGATGTCATATTTCCTTATTAGCTTTAAAAGCATGGTGTAGCATTTCCATTAATCAGCAATACTGTTAACATTTGAGAAGAGCAATATACCACATGTACCTCAGGATCTACATCTTCAGCTGATGGAGCAGAGGAGTTCTGCAATGCGTTTCATATATCAAAAAAAATGCATTTTAAAATTTGTTTAACAATAATAAAAATCTTTCAAACATGCTTTTAAAATCATGAAAACATTTTTGTAGAGTATAAGTGATTTTGCTGGAAACAGCCTTACCACAGGGGAAGTGTAGAGGGTACTGACTGGAGGAGCTGAGGAAGTCACTGGGGTGGGATCGGTTTTGGGATACATCGAGTACGAGTTCTTATGTCTCTGCAATTGAGCATTCAGCTCTGTGTCAGCTTTTATTCTATATACTAGCTGAAAACAAACACATCCATACCCAAAAATGAGCATTTCAGCTTAGCAACCCACCATTCGCTCCTTCTCCTCAGCCTCACTTTGAGAAAGGGCTATGGCCAGCTGCAGCTCCTCCTCCTCCTGCAGGGCAGCCTCATCTCTCTTGGGGGGCATCTGGTGAGAAAGAAGAGCAGGAGAAATATATAGCAGGAGAGTCCAACAGCGAAAGCTTGGCTGCAACTGGATCATCTAAACTACAACAAATCTACAACAGAATAGCTGAAAAAGAAAACACTAAAAGGTTTCATAATGACCACAAATAAAGTCCAGACATTCAGCTTGATTGAAATGCTGTAGAACTACATTAAGAGAGCTCTGCCTGCAAATCTCAGTGAACCAAAGCAACACTGTAGGAAAGATTGGGACAAATTTCCTCCACAGCAATATGGGAATTAAAGTCAGCTAGAAAACACTGATTTCAAGTGATTGCTGGTAAAGTTGGTTCTTTAAGCTAATGAATGATGGGGTGTACATGACTATTTATTTCCAGTGTGACAATTTTGGCAACTTTTTTCCAAAAAGGCTAGAAAGCTGTCTAAAATGTAAAAAAACAACACCAATATAATAACTCGAAAATCATTTAAGTCCTATATTTAACAGGTAACAAAACAAAAACAAAAAAATCTAGAAAGACAGTGATTGATATAAAGATATAAAGATATACAAATTATTACCTGTGACTGCTGGGACAGTGGGCTGGTCAGGTACTCAGGTGGCAGTTCAGCAGAGCCTGAGGAAGGGGCTTTTCCTTCAGCTTTCCTAAGTGGAGGAGAGAGGGAGGGGTGGCTGCTAAGGAAGAGGGATCAGGGAGGACAAATAACCTTGTAAATCAGTGTTTCAAGCATGCTGCTTGAAACAACAGTAGCACTCCAAAGAGAGAACAATACAACAAAACATCATGGGAAACACTTT